GGGGAGGGGCGGGTGGGGGAGGGGCTCATTCACAGTCAAAGACAAAATGTCCTTTTGGCTGAGCGGGGAAATGACGTCATCGGGGGCTCAGCCAATGGCGCGCGCCGGGGGTCCGCGCGCGCCCGTCCCCGCGGGGGGGGCCCGAAGAGGGGGGGGTGGGCACCGACGGGGGGGGGCGGGGGAGGTCCTGGGATCCAGCACAAGGTGACCCCGGGCCGGGCCACCCCACCGGGGGCCCGAAATAGCCCCGGGGCCGGGGGGGGCGAGGGGCCCCCGCGGGGAGGGGGGGGGGGCTTGGAGAGGCACCGGTGGGGGACACGAGTGGGGACGTGTGGGCGTGGGGACACACCGGGCAAGGGGGCACGGGCACAGCCGGGCAGGACACACCTGGGGACAAGAGGGGTGCAGGGGGACATGTGGGGCACAGGGCTGGTGGGGGACACCCGGGGTATGGGAATGCACAAGACACAGGGACACCCAAGGACAGACGCGTGGGGACACATGAAGTGGATGAGGACACAGTGGGCACGGGGACACACAGGGCACAGGGGCACACAGAGGGCATGGACACATAAACGACCACGCAGGGGCACAAGGGACACAGTGGGCACAGGGACACACGGGGCACGTGGACAGAAGGGACACCCAGGGCACAGACACATACACCACGCAGGGACGTGGTGACACAAGGGGGTGACACAAGGGACACAGTGGGCACGGAGCCACAGAGGACACCCAGGGCACAGACACATCCGTGCCCACGCAGGGACGCCACGGGGACACACCAGGGGCAGGGGGACACAGGGGACACTGGGCACAGGGACACAGTGGGCACAGGGACACAGGGACACCCAGGGCACAGGGACAACCAAAGGGCACGGACATACACATGACCATGCAGGGACATGTGGTGACACAAGGTGTCAGAACGCAAGGGACACCCAGGGCACAGACACCTCCACGAGGGACACATGGGAACACACCAGGCACGAGGTCACAGGGCACGGGGACACACCGGGCACGGGGGTGCAGTGGGCATGGGGACACTTGGGCACACACACAGCACACTAGGACACTCTGGGCACAGCCAGGTCCAGCCCAGGGGACAGAAAGGGGACACGCCGGGCACGGTGCCACGCGTGTCCCTGCGCCGGGGCGGGGGCTCACCGGGTGTCCTCTGGCTCCGACAGCGGGTCCAGGGTGCTGGGCTTCTGTTCCATTCACCGCAATTCCATCAAGGAGCGCTCAGCACCGACCGGGGGGGCTCCGGCGCCACGCGGGGGCCACGGCGGGGGGGCCACGGCGGGAGGCCACGGCGGGGGCTACGCCGCGCTCCCCATGGTGCCCCTCAGTGCTCAGCACCGCGCAGCATCCCGGGCTGCACCCTGCGGGACACGGGGGTCAGCCCCGACCCCTGGGGGGGGCTGAGGGGGACAGTAATGGGGGACCTCAGGGACGGGAGGAGGAGCAAGCCCGGGGGACACAGAAGGGACCCCTGGGGAGGGGGGTGCAGCCCTGGGGGGCCTCCAAGAGCTGCTGCTGCCGGGGAAGGCTGGGTACCAGTGTGCAAGAACGCGTGGAGCGTGCAAGGGCAGCAAGGGCCGTGCGAGAGCACGAGGGACGTGCAAGGACACGTGGAGGGAGCGACGTGCAGGGTGTGTGCAACAGCACCGGGGCTGGGCCAGAGTGCACCGGGGGGAGAGAATGTGCACAGGGACACGAAAACATGCATGGGTGTGCAAGGCTGGGAGAGCATTAAGGGCGTGCAAGAGCGTGCAGGGGTGTGTGAGAGTGTGCACAGGTGTGAGAGAGTGCACAGGGGGCTGTGAGAACGTGCAGGGGGGTGCAAGGCTGGGAGAGGCATTAGGGGTGTGCAGGGGTGTGCAGGAGCATGCGGGGGTGTGCAGGGCTGTGTGAGAGCACGTGGGGTGTGTGAGAACACGCACAGGTGTGTGAGAGTGTCCCCAGGTGTGCAGGGCTGAGAGCCTGGGGGGAAGCACAAACACACACGGGGGTGGCAGTGGGTGCTGACCCCACCCGTAGGGCAGGGCTGGGGGGGCCTCCCAAGAGGCAGGGAGAGCCCGTTGGGCTGGGGGTGCACAGGACCTGCCAGGGGAGTGCCCCCCAGACACTGTGCTTGGGGGCCAGGCTGAGCCCTGACAGATTCACCACATGTGTGGACACCCCCTGAAGCTGGGAGTAGGGGGTGACTTATGGGAGGGGTGACTTACGGGGTGGGGGGTGCCGGGGGTCCAGGCAATCCCTCCTCTGTGAGCTCTCCTGTGACAAAGACACGGCGGGGGGGGGGGGAGTCAGGGCGTGGGCAGCACTGGGGGGCACCCATTGCCCCCCTGTGTTGGGGAAACTGAGGCACGACCCCAGCAGATCCCCCCTTCCCTTCGCGCCCCTCCGTTCCACATCGCCATGGATACCCAGCACCCACCCAACACCCACCCAGCACCCCAGTGGGGCGGGGGGGGCCCTGCTCACAAGCCCCCCCCGTGACCTCCCGGTGACCCTCCCGGCGTGGGGGCTGTGGGGGGCGCGGGGGGCCCCCTGCCCGCGCCGGGGGGGCCGGGGGGGCCGCGGCGGGCGCCGTGCCCAGCCCCGGGCTCCTCCGCTCCGCGCGGGGACAGCAGAAAGTAGGTCACGTTTGTCTTGGCCGCCGCAGAAATTCCTCCGGCGGATTTAAAACGCAGCGGACGGGGCTGGGGGCCCCCACGACACCCCCACGCCACGGGGCGCCCCGGTCGGCCCCCCCCCCCCGAGGCAGGGACACCCCCGAGCAGCGAGGGATGGGGGGGCAAGGGATGCGGCACCCAGGGGTGCACAGGGCACCCCGCGCCGCTGCGGCGCACGAGGGGTTCGCACCGGGGGTCTCCCAGACCCCCTGAGGAGGGGGCGTCTCCTGCACCAGCCTCCGCGGGGAAACTGAGGCACGGCAGCGCACCCACCACCCCCGGGGTGCGCTCCCCCTCTGGGGGGCTCACGGCGGGGGCTGGCCGCCCCTCTCCGCAGCCCCAGGCCGGGTTTGGGGCCGGCGGTACCTATAGAGCCGGGGGCTGCAGCAAATGTTTGTTCCATATGGGAACGGCGCGCGGAGAACTTCCAAGTATAGGCACTGGCAGGGATCCAGGGCTGCGCGGCCCCCGCCGGGCACCGGCCCCCCCGCCGCCCACCGCCCCCCTCCCCCGGGACCCCGCGCACGGGCAGAGCCCCGACACGCTCGGTGCATGTGTGGGGCCGGGGGGCGTCGACACCGTGGTGAAACTGCCACGGAGTGGGATCTGGGGTGTCCCCAAAGCTGGGTGGGCTCAGCTGCCCCTGCCTCAGTTTCCCCACTGGGGTGGCCTGGTGGGCACAGCCCCAAATGAGAGGGGCTCAGGGCTAAAGCCGGGGGGCTGCGGCGCAAAGTTGGGGTTCGGTGCCACAGCGAGACCCCACCAGCCCCCTGACACCCCCGGGATCACCGGCACCCCCGGGATCACCCAGTGGAGCCTGCGGTGCCGCTCCAGGAACTGTCACTCGAGGAATCCTGGGCGCGCTGGGGCGGCCCAGACAGACAGACAGACAGGAGAGGCGGCTCTACTCCTCCTCTTCCTCCTCCTCCTCCTCCAGCAGGACACGTGTGATGAGCGCAGTCAGGTCTCAGCCCACCCTGTGCCGCCGGCACCCAACCTGCGCGTCCCACCTGCAGGACCAGGTGCTGGGTGGGAGGGGGTGGCAGCCGGCAGGAGCCCCCCCGTGCCCCCCCAGCCCAGCCCCACGCCCAGGGGAGCGTTTCTGCTGAGTCGGGTGGTTGCAGGCGGCGGAAAACAACCCAGGGGCAAAGTCCGGGGCTGGGCCAGCGGCAGGAGCCACCTCACCCCACCGGGGGCACCCAGCACTCCCGTCCCCATGGACCCCACCCCTGGGGACCCTCAGAATGGGGAACTCACCCCACAAGACACCCCTCTGCGAATGCACCAGCTGCCTCCGTTCAGCTGGATGTGGGTGCTGGGCACCGGGGCCACCCCAGGGGGCCACCAGCGTGTCCCTGCCCCCCGGGACAGATGGGCTCCGGGGGTCCCAGCACCCCCCCGCCCAGCTGCAAGCCGGGTCAGGGAGGTGAGGGCCTAAGCGCTTTAGCCACGGTGCCAATTAGTGTGATTAGCGCAGGCTGGGGGCAGGGCGCCGCGGGCAGACCCGCAGCCACTGGCCAGCGATGCCCGGCCACGGCCGCAGTGTCACCGCGGGCACCGGGGCAGTGTCACCGCGGGCACTGCGGCGTCACGGCGGGCACTGGGGCAGTGTCACGGTGGGCACCGGGCAGCACCAGGGTGGGCACCAGGGTGGCACAGCTCTCCCCCTGCCCGAGGATCCCTGGCTGCGCTGTCTGGCAGGACAGCACCGTGGGAGCGTGTCCAGGTACAGGGCACCTGCCATGGCACGGCTGGCAGCACCCGGCACGTGCCGGTTCCCGCGTGTGTGGCCGTGCCAGGTGCCACACGCGCGTCTGCTCTCAGTGCCGAGCACTCACCCCGCACCTGTATCAGTGCAGGGCACACCATCCCCAGTGCCACGCGGTGCCCGGTGCTGTGGGCACCGTGTGGCAGCGGGGACAGCAAGCTGTGCTGTGCTGTGCCGTGCCGGGAGGCTGCAGGAATCCCAGGCATGCGCAGCAGCTGGGCAGCTCCAGTGAGGGGGATGCCACGGGCCTGACATCAGGGCAGCCCACCCTGTGCTGTGCCCTGGGGGCCTTGGACAGTGCCCCCTCCCCACATAGTCAAGGTCTGGGTCATGCTGTGGCACAGGAAGGCTGAACTGGGTCTGCCCTCCCTGGGGCTTGGTGGCTCACAGAAGCCACCACGAGAGTGTGGGCTGGTGGCTGCAGGGACGGTGACCTGCTCTGACACTGAGGGGGCACCCAGGTTGTGGCCTCGTGCCTCCGACGTGCCCTGTGTCCGACGGGTCCTTCATCGCCACCGCGGGGACCTGCCCCGTGACCCCCACCCTGCCCTGCAGCCCCCATGAACCCCACGGGACTGCCAGTAACGTTATGTCCAACCCAGGCCACACCGGCCACTCCTTCCTGCAGTGTCCGAGTGTCCGGCTGTGCCTCGGTTCCCCCATCCCACCGGAGCTGCCTGGCAAAGGAACAGCTGTAGTGTCACATCTCCAGCACCGTGCTCCCCGTGCCAGCACACAGGACAAGGCCCATCCCTGTGGCACTGCTCCTCCAGGCCACAGGGGTCACCCAGTGGGACCCCCGAGCTCCTGGCATGTGCTGAGTGTGCCTGGTCTCAGCCTCAGGGCGGCTGCAGGCCCTGAACCCTGCAGGGTGCCCCCAGCCCCGGGAGGTGTGCCGGGACGCCGGGAGCTATTCTCAGCCCTTGGCACGGGATGGGACGTTTCTAAATTGGGGGCTCCGATTCACGTGCACCAGGACGGGGTGGGGGGGGGCCCTGGGTCCCCTCCCCAGGGGGCCCTGCTTGAAGCGGGGAGGCAGCAACCACGAGGTGCCCTGGGTGGGCACCGATGTGGGGACATGGGAATGGGCACTGGGATGTGGGAATGGGCACTGGGACAGGGCACCAAGACCGCCCAGGGGTGCGTGACCCCGGCGAGAAGGGAACACGGGGGACAGTCCCCAGTGTCCCCTCAGCCACCCGGCCCTGCCCGAGGGTCTGCAGCACCGGGGACACCCTGAACGGCACCACCCTGGGGGGGCCCGGCCCCGCTGCGCCCCCCCGACTGCATCCGGTCTGAGTGGGACCCTGGACGCGTAGCCCGCGCCTGCCTTGCCTTCACCGCATCCCCCCGCTCCTCCTCCTCCTCCTCCTCACTCCCCCCAGCCCGGAGGGGGACCCAGGCGTCCGGCCCCGCCCCCGCGCACCGGCGGCTGCGCGGGGTCCGGCGGGGCCGGGGGGCCGCGGGATGGGACCCCCGGGGCGGCCCCGCCGCCGCTCCGATCTCCGCTGCCCCGGGAATGCGCGCGCGGAGTGGAGCGGAGCGGGAGGGGGGGTCCCGCTTCCTGCAGCCACCGCCCCCTGGGAGGGGTCTGGGGGTGCGCCCGCAGCCCCCCCCCGCGCTGCGCAGGGTGCGGGACCCCGGGCGTGCACGGCCCGCGCTCCCCCCTCCCAGACCCCGCCCGCGGGGCGGCCCCGCGAAGGTCACGGCCGCGGGCGGGTGCGGGGAGTCGGGAGGGACCCCCACGAGAGAACCCCCCGCCGCCGGCCCGCGGGGAGCGGGGCCCGCACCATTGCGGGGGGCACACGCAGCCGCACGGCACCGCCGGGGGGAGGGGGGGACG